GCCAGTTCATTTCCACCTCCTAGCTCAAGGACACACATTTGGGTTGAATACTGAGAAGCGCTTGAGTCAAACATTTCTGTAAGAGGTAATTTAAGCCTGTCGATTATAACGTGCAGAGGCTGTTCTGGTTTTAACAACAGCGATCTAATGGAGGTGGTTACTGGCCATTTCGCACATTTAATTACGTACCTTACTTTCTCCTGGTCCCGAAAGTGAAATTTTATGTTTTGGCTCTTCTTGAGATTCATAAACAAGAAAGATAGTGAGCCAAGTTCAAACTATTACCTACAAGTTCAAGTGCACAGCTAATAACCCATCTGGATTATATTTTAAAGCATGAAAAGGAAGAGTAAACAGCAAGAGATAAAACAGTTCACAACAAAAAATCTCTCTCTTATTAAAGCCCATTGCAACCATTCTTCATTTCCAGTATCCTAAAACAGCTAGTAGTCCACTAGATCTTTTTTTCTGTCGGTTTTAAATTCGCAAATTATTTGTTGAAACTCAGGTAGGGTTAGGATTAGCACCAGGGTTAGGTCTAGGACCATGGTGAGGGTTCATTTTATTTTGATGATGATTGTTATCGAGATACAGTCACAATATACTTTTCTGAGCATATCGTGGCTATCGTCCGTACGTAAAGAAGGCTTTCTAACTACATGTTTCAGGACATAGTGAGCATATTTGGGCTTGTGGAAAAATTACTCCCCCCCTCAAGACAATCAATTACATCTGGAAAACAACATGCTTGGCTTAGCCAGTTCTGTTTCACAGAACCAATGTTTGTACATCAGTGGCTTCCCATCAATGATTTGTACATCTGTGACAATAAAAATGAGAAAACAGTCAATGAAAATACTTTAATGATCCATCTCTATGGGGAAGATCGAAGAGCTGACAACAGCTATTGTTCATCTTCACAAATCATATAATGGACACTAGGGGTAAAACGCAGACTTACTTCGCTCTGCTTTAAGCTTTAGCTACAGCCGATTTCCTCCCATCTCCGCCAGAAAACATTTCCTCAAAAGTAGATCAGTTTCTTGTAAAATGTCTCTCAGAGTTTGACTGTTTTACAAGGCTGAAGTCGCTTCTTATTCTTCAGCTTCTTGTTCGAATTTTCCCGTTCCACCTTAAATTCTGACTGAGGCGCCGAATGTAAATGCGGCGCCATTTAAGGTGGAACCGGGAAATTCGAAAGAGAAGCCGACATCTTCACAACTTCTTAGTGTTTGACAGTCTCTTGTTGCAGATTTAACTTGCCAGGAAACCAACTACAGTGCTTATAAATGTGAATAACGCATCGTTGCTATGTGACCTGCAGTCTGCACGCCAGTTCTCAGTCGTTGCGAAACAGGGCTTTCTCGCTATGTTGCACACGTCCCGTCTCAAAGATACTTTACTGACACAGCGTTCCCCCCCGTCTCTACAACGAGACCAAAACCGAAGTTATAAAATCACTAAAGAAAACAGGAAGGACGGCTGTAACGCGCTGCGTGGACGTCCATCACCACTGGATCTTATTTCACTGCGCATTTTATCGCAGATGTAGTGGCAGCAGCGTCTCATGTGCTCCAAACAAGAGCAGTGAATGAGAGCCTTCTAGTTCACTTGCCACATCACTTCCATTTGATTTATTAATAAAAGATATTGGAAGTAAATTCATTATGGATCATTACAAATACTTTGCTTTAAAAGTACCAAGTCCTCACACACTGAGAAAATAGAAATCCTGTATAGAAAAAAAAGATGCATCAAGATGCATCGATAATCGTTTTATAATCGCATCGCAGCGCTCTGAATCGTAATCGGATCGAATCGTGAGGTGCCTAAAGATTCCCACCCCTAATGGACACAAAACAAAATAAGTAGTACCTTAAAATTCCAATATTCACTTCAATATTAAAATACAATAATAGAACAAACATTTCACTTTGGATGAGGGTTAATTTGTTGGGAAGAGGATGATGAGAAGGTTGCCCCCCCAAAAATGTATATATATGTATATCGCTGCTGTCAGAAGAAAACCTTGTATCTCCATTTTTGCCGCTTTTCAGTTTTTGACATAATTTGAAAATATCTGCTTCCCTTTACATTGTATGTAAATTTCATGATGAATAGACCAAAAGAAACGGCCCAAAATGACTTGGAAAAATCTCTGGTTCTCACTTGCTCTGGTTCTTGACTTACATTAAAATAAAGATGTTTTTTCCTTCTCCTGCAAAGTTGTCAATTTGGAGAGACAAGGTTTTCTTCCGACAACAGCGATACATTTATATATATATATATATTATATATATATATATGGATCTGGAAAAAAAAACAGATGATATGAGGCTACTTTGCTGCTAGTTGTCCTGGGACATTTGTATAGATCAGTAGAATAACCTGGCTGTCCATATTGGCTTCAAAAGATGGATGACACTGACATAAAACACACTTCAGATTCAGGAAAGAAAAGGTAGACTATGAAGAAAAGCAACAAGGCCATCTTAATCTCCTTATTTGGGTTTAGTGCAGTGAATAAAAATCAATAATAATCGGTTGTTATTAGAGGTTCTATTTTCTCTGTCCTGACTTATTAAATCTCATAAAAATGAAATATTGTGATGCATATTGTGTATCATGAAAATGTCTTATCGTATAGTATTGTATCGTGATGCAATATTTTTGCTGTATCACCCACCCATAAGATTAGAAGTTAAATTCAAGTTAAGCATCTACAGTGGGGTATCCAAATAAAGTGTTACCTTTACTTATAAGCTTGCAGTGTATGTATCATAACTATCCAGGCAGTCTGGAGGAGAATGGTATGTTATATTCAGAACAGTCCATCATCATCCACTAGATCTTTTTTTTAAACTGTATCACACGGTTCATCCCTCATTTGCTGTCTTTCATGGAAACCATGAAGCATGAAAAATGAAACAATATACATTTTGCACATGTTAATTGAGCTTTTGTGACATTTTGATGGTGATAAATGGTACATACGGGCTTGTATGAGACATTTTAGCTTTTTGTCTTGCTTATAGTTCAGTTGTTTATAAGACTGCCGCACAGGGATACCAATAATTGTTTGCTTTGCAATAACATTTGTATTATCTGAGTCAAACATACAATACTGAAAACTGATCTGAATCTTCTCTTCAGGATTAAAAATCATATCAAACCTGAAAACATGTTTTGTAACACTCCTAATTTAGCATCCACTACTAATGAAACCATGTGTGAACCCATTCTACACACATGAGCAGCTACACAGGAGTGAGTGAGTGAATGATTCAGTGAGTGAGTGAGCCTAAGATTCAGTGATTGAGTGAGCGAGTGAATGATTCAGTGAGTGAGTGAGTGATTGATTCAGTAAGTGAGTGTAAGTGAATGATTCAGTGAGGGAGTAAGTGAATGATTCAGTGAGTGAATAAGTGAATGATTCAGTGAATGAATAAGTGAGTGAGTGAGTGAGTTAATGACTCAGTGAGTGAACGATTCAGTGAATGAGTGAATGATTTACTGAGTGAGTGAATAATTAAGTAAATGAATAAGTAAGTGAGTGAGTGAGTGAGTTAATGATTCGGTGAGTGAATGATTTATTGAGTGAGTGAGCAAATGATTCAGTGTATGAGTAAGTGAATGATTCAGTGAGTGAGTGAGTGAATGATTTAGTGAGTGTAAGTGAATGATTCAGTGAGGGAGTGAATGATTCAGTGAGTGGGTGAGCAAATGATTCAGTGTATGAGTAAGTGAATGATTCAGTGAGTGAGTGAAGGATTTACTGAGTGAGTGAATAATTAAGTAAATGACTAAGTAAGTGAGTGAGTGAATGAGTTAATGATTCGGTGAGTGAATGATTTAGTGGGTGAGTGAGCAAATGATTCAGTGTATGAGTGAGTGATTGATTCAGTGAGTGAGTGAGTGAATGATTTAGTGAGTGTAAGTGAATGATTCAGTGAGGGAGTGAATGATTCAGTGAGTGAGTGAGCAAATGATTCAGTGTATGAGTAAGTGAATGATTCAGTGAGTGAGTGAGCGAATGATTCAGTTTATGAGTGTAAGTGAATGATTCAGTGTGGGAGTAAGTGAATGATGCAGTGGGTGAGTGAATGGATAATTCAGTGAGTGAGTGAAGGATTGAATAAGCGAGTAAGTATGTGAGTGCATGAGTGAATGAATTAAATGATTATCAAATGAATGAGTGAGTGAGTGAGTGAGTGAGTCACTGAGTGAGGGACTGAGGGAGTGAGAACATGAGTTAGTGTTGTGGATGTTTAAGTTGAGTGAGTGACGAAGTAAATGAGTGAGTGAGTTAGTGAGTAAGTGAATGATTCAGTGAGTGAATGAATGATTAAGTAAACGAATAAGTGAGTGAGTGAGTTAATGGCTCGGCGAGTGAATGATTCCGTGAGTGAGTGAAGGATTTACTGAGTGAGTGAATAATTAAGTAAATGAATAAGTAAGTGAGTGAGTTAATGACTCGGTGAGTGAACGATTCAGTGAGTGAGTAAGTGAGTGAGTGAGTTAATGACTCGGCAAGTAAATGATTCAGTAAGTGAATGAAGCGAGGCTCGTTAAGTGAACCCAATAGCACCTATAAAGGTATGAACAGCTGACAGGGCAGATAAGCCCTCTGTCCTCTCCACCGTTTCAAGACTTCAGTCGCTTTTCAAAAAACCCAGAGCCTCGGGTCACGTGCTTTCATGCGTGACGTCATTTGGCTGGATAAAACGAGAGAAACCCTGTCGGTCTGTGAGCGCTGTGTGCTGCTGGTGATGATGTGACTGGCCATATAAAGTGCTGGACCCCGCAGTCACAAAGTGAGCAGCCTGCCACACGAGCCCGCTGAGGAGCGAGGAGGGCGCCCGCTTCAGAGGCTCTGCACGACTCGAGGGCTCGGACAGGTTTTCGATAAGAGAGAGAGAGAAAGAGAGAGGGAAGGAGGGAGGGAGAAAGTGACTGATAAACTGCACCGGTTCGGCTGCTCTGTTGAACCTGTGAGCGCTATGGAGAGCGGGGCGAACGTGTCGGATGCTCTCTATCAGTTTGCAGACCTGCTCATGGCGAACAGCAGCAGCGTGCTTTGCCGAAACTTCAGCGGTAACGCGAGCGTTTTGGACCCCGACTCGAGGTGTAACCTGACGACTGATATAAATAAAGGCTCCACTCCCGTGGTCATCGCCATCATCATCACTGCGGTTTACTCCATCGTGTGTGTGGTGGGACTGGTGGGCAACGTCCTGGTGATGTATGTGATTATCAGGTGAGTCGTGTGGAACAGGTCCATTCGCTTGTGGACAGAAAGACAAACCCACAGGTGACCGGCTGAGTTCTGCTGATCCGTGTGGACAGAGACAGCAGGGTACCTGTTGAAAGCACTGTGAGGGTCTGAATAGGCAGTGATGCTGGGAAGTGAGGAGCCTGTTCAGAGAGGCAAACAAGCAGACGCGTGCACTCGAAGTTGTTGTTTTTCATGCTGTCAGATGTGGCTTTGAGATGGCTGAGCGTGTGTGTGTGTGTGTGAGAGAGAGAGAGAGAGAGTGAGGGAGAGACCACTTCGTAAGCTTTGTGTCACATTGATACAGATCACACTTAAATAATGAGGTACATGTAAATATGTAAACAGTAAGTCGTTACATATGCAGTAACATTTGAATCTTACACTGAATGGTAGACATATGATGTTTAATAAGTGAATGCATCCTTTGAGGAGTTACTGAACTGCAGTATAGTAACACAAGAAGTGACCAACCACTGGAACTGGACCTTGAGGGTTGGGAAAGACCACATAAATTAGTGACACTTCTTCTAGACGTCCACCATGCTGTTACAACTACAGAATAACACTGACCGTTTCAGGGCTCTGGTCAGGATTTCCTAAAAGTGAAGCCACTGAATCCACAGAACTTCACACACGATTGCAATGGAGAGCAGGGATCGGCAATATGACAATATGTTATTGTTATTGTGATACATTTTGTCACAATAGGCTTTAATATCATTATTGTTATCATTAAGGAATAATTATTTATCTGCCACTGCTTGGTAGGCAGTATGGCAGCATGTTGTCACTATCATGATAAATTACAAGATGCTTTTCTGAGTATCTCATGAATATTGTCAGTACTTAAAGAACACAGACCAACTGCGTACTTCATAAGAATTGGTACTGTTTTACAGGATTCACTGTAGAACATTATGAGAAACGTTAAATGTTTGAGTATAAACCTTATTCATAGTTGCTGATAGTATTTTTGAAATGTGGCACCTCTGGGGTTTTATTGACTGTACCAACTTATCAGACTTCAGAAACACCTTCAGAAATTCCATCTATCATGAAAATGTCTCCAAGTATTGTGATGTTATATTTTTGTCATATTGCACACCCCTAAAGAAAGAGCATCCCAAACATACAGACTGTAGCACAGGGTCAGTTCCAGTGCTGTCCCAAAGCTTCTGATGTTACTCTACCAAAAACTGGTCTGCTGCTTGTAGCTGTTGTTGCTTGGGGTCTTGAAATGTAGTTATTGTCCACATACAGTAATATGTAAAGGTTTGAACACCCCTGGTTAAATTACATAATTAGATGGTTTTCTAGGTGAAAATATGTTAAAATTAGTGCACAATTTATGTTTATTTGCTGAGATTTAGAAAGTGGAAAAAATAACACAATAAAATGTCATAACTTTTGCACAGGCCACATTTCATGTTTTATTTTTCCTAATTTGAAAGAGGATGTGCTAACTTTTTTTACTTAGAAAATCAACAAAACGTAATTTTGGCACACAAACCTTTGCATACAACTGTACATGTCACTAAAACTAGCCCTGTTAGGATATATATAGAGCCTTTTTAAGCCTAAGTCATGCCAGTCAGTAAGAAGCAGGCTTTTAATCTAATGGACAACAAAAAGCATTTGGTGATTTGATATAAATTTCTGACTTGGTAGACAGGGTCATTTCTGTAAAAAAACAGACATTTAATGGTTTGAGTCTGGTATGTAGGGGTATATGGGTAAGACTTACATAAGGTGGACTAATTTGATTTTTTGTGCTTTGTAAAGCTACAGGGTCCACTGAGAGTTTATCAACCAATTACGTTTTTAGAGGAACGTGCCTCTGGCCTGTAGCCGTGACCTACCTGTGATTAATTATTTGATTGCAGGTTGATATTGGTTTATTGGGCTATATTATCTGCCATTAAAAAAGGCCTCCGGGCTAAGCAAATATGAGCTGATAATACAAGGCCATTTAAAGACATTCTTTCCGTGAGAGTCGTGCCAGAGTCATCGTGTCTAATCCTGAGCATTTCCTCTGCTGCAAATTTGAAGTGAACATCAACCCAGTTTCTAATGCTGTTAGTCTAATAGTGATGTAGTATCATAATTCATATGTTGGAAGCTTTTAATGAAGTCAAAACGCCTTTGTGTCTCCTAATATTTAGGTGGAACTGAATTGTCATAAGCAACAAAGAAACACAAACTGAACCACACCAAGCAAGAATGAGCCCAAGTTTCACATTCATTTCTGAAATGTGGAAAGGAAACATTAAATGCAAGTATGTCTGAAAGAAGCCAGAGTAAGAGGGCAATTATCACGCTGAATGAGGGACCCCCTGAGATGCCAGCTTATAGTGCATGAAAAATGAATGTACAATTTGCAAACATGGAGCAGGAAATGTTTGGCTACTAATAGGTACAGAATGCAAAGAGGGTAGGAACTCGTTCATCGCAAGGTTCAGTTCGTGCACATGTAGAAGCAATCTTATGTATTACCAGAAGCTTTGACCTTTAGAAGCTATGCTGTACAAAGGAAGGCATGACTATGAATGGTGTAAGTGGTAATATCTCTTCTTTTACTCATCTTAAAATATTCAGATACTTCCTTTCAACTCAGTACTCATCAGGGGTCATCAGGGTCATCAGTCAGATTTGACCTGGGGCCACATTCACACAGAGCATGTACTGTTTGGGCTAGAAGCCCACCTATCCTCCCACCATGCCAACCCCACAAACTAAACATCTCATCATCAATTTAGTATAAACACTAAATCATTTATGAGTTCTGAGTTCTGCACACACTCATCCAGTCACCCATTCATTTACATTATACATATCATCACTGTCCAGTGAAAAACATTCACCTCAAAGATGGTAACTTTACAGGAAAAGGCAGAAACTTTCTTAAATTGTAATAGAAATTAATGTAAAGATATTTTATTTCAAGTCATTATGGAGCTTTTCTATTGGTCCATTCATCATGAAATTTTCACACAGTGTAAAGGACAGCCACCTTGTTCAAATGGTATGGAAGAATAAAAATTGACAAAAATGGCGATACGTTTCTTTATGAACAGTGACAATATGTTAACAATGCTAATTACAAGAGTTGAAAATAATAATATATTTACAAGGGTAACAACATTCAGTGGTAGATTACAGTGATCAGTTTTTTTATTACTTTACAATCAGTATTAGACTCAGGGATCAGAGCTAGCCCAGCACTCTGCATTCACTTTTACTCTGGACAGCTAAACTTGCTTGCATTTTAGCAACACGGCCACAAAGCAGTACAATCTGGTGAAATGTAAAAACATCCAAATATGTGTTGTGAGTTACTTAGCAAAACGAATTAGCTAGCAAAAATACCTTTGTTTAAATCCCTCAGTCCATATTCGACATTTTTCTTTTCTTTTCTTTTCTTTTCTTTTCTTGTTTTCTTGTTGTCTACTTATAAGATTTGTGCACGTTTCACAGTCACAATTCATTTTTACATGACCATTTCAAAGCCCAGGCTGTTTTAGTTACTGTCTCTCTGAGAATGACATCTTTTCAGATTGGCTGCCCTGTATTGTGATTCATTCAGAGTCCAGGATGAAGCGCTCCTTATAACGTCTACAAAAAGTGAATGGGCGGGGCTAAACTGCCTACGCTGAGTTGGCAGATTATGTATAAATGCATTGGTTGTGGTGACATCACAACCACAGTTAATTCAAGCAGGACATTTTTGTTGCTTAGTGTCCATGTATGGGGGGGTGAACGTCACAATTTGCAGCTTTACTTTAGTACTGTTTACATACTAAATCAAACTCTTTAATTAAAAGAATTGAAGGAAATTCAGTTTTCCATGATATGGACTCTTTAAGAGAAAAATTGATGCAGCGAATCAATGAATGGATAAAAAATTGACCCAAAGGTATGTTGATATAATGCCACCCCCAAAAATTCCTGAAAGTGGTTTACAATGTTTTGCTATGAAACCCTTCCTTTTCAGAGGACATGGCTCTCTCAGTGAATCTTGTCCACCATCTTATTCACTGTCTACACTCTTAAAGGCCCCCAAAGGTGTTCTTTGTCACAATACCACAGAAGAACCACTTTTGCTTCCCTAAAGAACCTTTCAATAAATAGATATCTAAAAAAAGAGAGAAAAAAACATACATATAAGCCAAAAACCATTTAGGAAGCTTCATTTGGCACAATGCATAAATCATAGGTTACAGCACTAATGTTCAGAAATCTCTGCTAGGAGCCAGTGGCACCCTCAGCGATAGATAATTGCATTTACATTCTCCCAGTTATTAACCCCCACAAAACAACGTCTAGTGTTCAGGAGCGCTTATGGAGCTCAGCACATGACAAACAGGAGTGGCGCGGCACAATCATGTGGAAAATCAATCTTTTAGTGAACAGAGAAGGAAAACAGAGGGGAATTCTAATAATGCCTAGCTTTTTGTTGTCATGGAGAAGCTCAAGAGTTGCACCCAACATCTCTACCTCCACTGGCCACTGTACTTACAGAAGGCTTTTTGCTACATGAAGGGGGAGACATGGAAAAACGAACAGAGGACGCTCAGCTGTGTCAGATCCATATCTGTCTTTAGTACCACAGTATCTGAATAGCAGGGCAGTGAGGTATGTGACTTGAGATTTTCAGTTGAGATTCCCTTTTAATGGGGTTTTTAAAATGCACAGAGGTTACTTACTCTTCATGTTTTTGTTTCCCCAGAACAGCTTATGCAAGGTACAACAGAGAAAACTGGCGCTTTGATATGCCTAATAAATCAAAAGCTGACCTTTCACATTTTAATCCTTCTGCTCCACTCATTACCTGTGACATTTATGTCAGGCACACTTCATAGTTAAAAGACATCAATACCACAATCACTTCAGCTCCTGTGGACAGCCTGAAGTACAACTGATTTATTTGTATTTGTGCTTTAGCTTGATTGATATTCACGTGTAGCCAGTCTAAACAGCCAACT